TGGTAGAATGGGGATTCACCCCCAATCTGATCCCAAAGCACTATTCTTACCGACTAATTCAAAGTCAGATTGGTTGGGTTCCCATTTAGGCTCTGGTCCTTACCATGACAGCCCTGGCCAAGTTAGTTACCCCTGCTGACTCCTATGAAGTGGCTGCTGTGTGGAGAATGCACTGCATTGGGAATAGGAGGGTATGGAAAAAAATCAAGAAAGCATTTAAGAGGCTGTGGCAGTTGTCCAGAGTGTGGAGTCCTGGATCAGTGTAGTGTCTTGGGGGCAATGAGGATGATGGAAACATCATCTGGTATACTGGAAACTCCTGCAGTATGCTCAGGAGTTTGAGCATACTGCAAAAAGTTTACACTGTGTCCTTAGATGATTGCTGAGTACCAATTCAGTCAAATATACAAAGGTAAACACAGGCCAAGAATTGTATTATGGTTCTTGTTTTTTGCTGTGGTTCTCCAGATAATTTAGGATGTGATCTAATCATTTGGGGGAATTATCAGCACCATGAACGTACAGAATTTCAGAGTTCCTCCTGAAAACTTATAGATACTAGAGACAATTTCCTGGACACTCTGGGATCTAAAGATTCATGGTGGAGAAATATTCAAGTTTACTGTCAACTTGTTTACTGCCCATGGAAGATGTCCTGGCCTAATTTGGCCACGGGGAAGCCCCATCATGGTGGTAGCACCTACAACTCAATAGAAGTTATGTTAAGGAGGTTAGCCTCCCAACCACCACACTGAGAGAAAAAACATTTCTTTTCCTTCCCTGGTGACCCCCCAAGCATGAACCCTGTCCTTCCAGGCACAGCAATTCCCTATTTCAGGTCCTACTTATTATTTCACCATGGCCCTTCCCTCTTTATTCTCAGTCTTGTCTTCTTAGAATCACGGAAGAGAGGAATTCTAGAGCTGGAAGGAAGCCACTTTTAGGGATTGCAATGTGAAAGTTAGGGAAGAGTTAGGATTTGAATCCAGATCTCTTGGCCTCTAAGAAGAGTGCTTTTTCAAATCTGACTTTCCCCTAGCAGCACCATGGGAAGATGTCACCTTCTCCCTTTATGGCCAGAGCAGGATGCAGCTGGTCAGAAAATATTAGAGCTATTCTTTACCAGTTCTAATTACCCACAGGGCAAAGCTGGCAGCATGAGGGATGTTCTCTGGTGCCTGTTATGCTGCTCCCACCTACACACACACACACACACACACACACACACACACACTCAACAGTCACACCCAACATCCCTACTGTCCTGCCCCCCAACATACCAGCTCACATGGGGGCCAGGGACCATTTCCCATCTCATTCCAACCATAAGGGTCCACTTTCAGTTGCCATGTTGTGGAGTCTTGTACAGAGTTGTGCCTTGAGCAAGTAGGTGATGCAAATAAACCCTTCAGATTCCAGGTGTTTGGGAGCATCATATTCCATTCCACCTTGGGATCTATCACTTGGGATACTATTACCCCTTGTACCTGACTAACTCTGTTGGTAGATGATCATTCTAATTCCTAGTAGGCAATTACTTCTCTCCTCCTCCTTCCCCACTTATGTCAGGCTCAGCCACATGAGTTGTTCTGGCCAATGGAATAAGAGTAGATATAATGCAGACAGAGACAGAAGATGTAAATCTGCTTGTGCAATTTGCATGTCTTTGAACTCATGACTTGCCATGAAAAGAGCCTGCCCTAAGAGCTTATGCCCTTCATTCTGGGATCCAAAAGGAACAAACATAGAGTAGACCTGAGCCCAACCCACAGACTGGACCAAAACCACCCACCAATCCCAGCTTCTAATTGTCAAACTGCAGTCAATATGCAGCTTCAAGAGCATGAAAACAAATGCTTATTGCTATGGCCACTGAGATCGAGTTGTTTTTTCCCCTAGCATTATTTCAGTAGTAGCTGATATTTAGCATGCTCCTTCAGATGGACATCAGCTTCAGGTCTCCTCCCACTCTAACCCCCAAGAGCAGGTCAGATCCCCACTGGCCTCTCTGCTATTTCCATGTGTCTGCCCAATCTGAGTCACATTTGATTGTGAGAGCTTCTACTGACTTTCTTTCCCCTGTACGTGGGGACCTATCAGTCTGGCTACCAGAAAACCAGCACCTGGCCCCAAGGACAAGCATAGAGTAGGTGAGCACTAGATATTTCTTAAATGAAGAGTAGATTAACAGATAAATAGGCAGATGGGTGGATGGGTGGGCAAGGCTGGAATACCTTTACTTACCTGCATTTCCCCAGGTTTCTAGAACCAGCTCTGGCTCTGGCTTGTTATGTGACTTCATGTGGGCCTCAATTTCCTTATGTGGAGACTTGATTAGAACTGCTTAGCCTAATGTAATAGTCTCCAGCAATATGTGGCTACTGAGCACTTGATATGCAGCTAGTGTGAATGAGGAACTGAATTTAATTTAAATTAACTTTCAGATAAAAACTGATACTCAATTTAGTTATTGGAAAACTTTGGGACAAGTTAGATATGTGAATCTATTTTTTTTTTTATTTTATCTATTGACAATATTACAGATGTTACCCACTTTTTGCCCATTGACCCCCTCCACCCCTCTCCGGCATGAATCCACTTTATTTTTTTAATCCTCACCTGAGGATATTTTTCTATTTATCTTCAGATAGAGTGGGAGGGAGGGAGAGAGAGAGAGAAAGGGAGAGAGAGAGAAAAAAAAAAAGGGAGAGAGAGAGAAACATCAATGCGAGAGGCACATCGACTGGTTGCCTCCCACACAACCCCGACAAGGGCCAGGATGAACCGCGACCGAGGTATGTGCCCTTGACCAGAATTGAACCGGCAACTCATTGGTCCACAGGCCAATGCTCTACCACTGAGCCAAACTGGCCAGGACGGAATCCACTTTTTTAAACTCTAAATTTTATGAAATCTAGCCCTGGCCAGTTTGGCTCAGCAGTTAGAGCATCCGCCTGTGGTCCAGAGAGACCCGGGTTCGGTTCCTGCTAGGGATGCGTACCTCAGTTGCGCTTTGTCCCTGGCCCTGGTTGGTTGTGTGGGTGGCAGCCACTCGATGTGTCCCTTTCACGTTGATGTTTCTCTCTCTCTCTCTTCCTCTTTCTCCCTCCCACTCTATCTGAACAAAAAATGGAAAAATGTCCTCAGGTGAGGATAAAAAAAAAAAATATGAAATCTAGATACAAATCAAATATTTTCTATGAGAATTTGGCATCTAGAGAGGTGTGTAGGTGTAAAATAGTACCAGATTTTGAAGACTTACTATGAGAAAAGAATGTAAAACACTTCATTAATAAATTGTTATAGCCCTGGCCGGTTTGGCTCAGCAATTAGAGCATCGGCCCACAGACCAGAGAGTCCCAGGTTCGGTTCCCGCTAAGGGCACGTACCTTGGTTGCGGTTTGTCCCCGGACCCGGTTGGGGTCGTGTGGGTGGCAGCCACTCGATATGTCTCTCTCACATCGATGTTTCTCTTTCTTCATCCCCCTCTCCCTCCCACTCTATCTGAAGAAAAATGCAAAAATGTCCTCGGGTGAGGATAAAAATAAATAAATAAATAAATAAATAAATAAATAAATAAATAAAGTTATATTATGTGTTAAAGTGAGAATATTTTGAATCTATTTGGTTAAATTAAATATATTATTTACATCTTTTTTTTTTTTACTTTTTTAGTACTAGAAAATGTGCAATTACATATATAGCTCACATTATATTTCTAATGGATAGTGCAGTATCAGAAAGTTTCTGAGGTAAACAAAGGCTTCAAGTCAGAAAGACATTTCATAGCTGTGTGACTTTGGGCCAGTCACTCTCCCCTCTGAGTCCCAGTCTCCTGACTTACGAAATGGAGATCACTGTGCCTATCACAAATACGTGTGGTGAGGATCCGGGGAGGAAATGTATGTGCAGTGTCTGGCGGACAGCAACCACTCTTTATATGTAAGCTGTCATTACTGTTTTCACTGTGATTTTCTGGACAATGCAAGCAAGCAAGTTGTTATAAACATGGCAAACTCATATCCATGCAGTACGGTCCAGCTTCCAGAGAATGTTCCACTAAGCAGCTCCAAGTGTCCTCCCTTCTGCAGGAAAGGGGCCTGAGACTCTGTAGGATGGTTTTAAAATAAGTCCACAAAGTCATTGACATTCTTTTCTTCAAGAGGTGGAAACTGTCCTGGCTGGGTAGCTCAGCTGGGTAGAGCATTATCCAATTTGCCAAGGTTGTGAGTTTGATCCCAGGTCAAGGCACATACAAGATAAATCAATGAATGCATGAATGAGTGGAACAACAAATTGATGTTTCTCTCTCTCTATCTCTCTCTCTGTCTCTCTCTCTCCCCCCTCCCTCCCTCCTTCCTCCCTTCCTTCCTCTGTCTCTCCAAAATCAATAAATAAATTTTAAAAGAGGTGGAAACTAATTCCCCTCACCTTGAGCGTGGGCTAGGTTTACTGACTCACTTCTAATGAATGGAATAAAGCAGAAGTGACAGTATGTGACATCCAAGACTGGGTCAAAAGAGGCACTGTGGATTCCTCTTGGCTCTCTCTTCTTCGTCACTTACTCTGGTGGAAGCCAGCTGCCTTGCCATGAGCATATTCAAGCTGCCCTATGGTCAGGTCCATGTGGTGAGAAACTGGAACTTCCTGCCAATAGTAATGAGTGAGCCATATTGCAAACAGATCCTCTAGCCCCAGTCAAGCTTCACATGAGTGTAGCCCCAGCCAACATCTTGACTATAACCTCATGATAGACCCTGAGACAAGAAAGGCTCAGTTTAGCCCCTCTCAAATTCCTAATCCAAAGAACTTGAAAGATAATAAATGTGTTAAGCCGCTAAACTTGAGGGTAACCAATACCAATACACTTTGTTTGGCCCTGTGGTTAAAGGCCTGCTTTTCTCCCAGAAAAGGGGCCCCGGTCTTGGGCCTGGTCCATCTTGGGACTTCAGAGACCGCCACAGGACCCAAAGGTCAAGGCACAAACCACAAACACTAGACCAGACTACCTATGTGCTCACAGGCTGTTTATTTATCCAATAAGGAGGAAAGAGAGAATGAAGGGTAAAACCACATGCCCCAAGGTGGTGGAGCTGAGGGTAGAAATGAACAGAAGGGCTCCTCCTCTTTCTCTTGCCTCGGACCCCAGGGAACTCCAGCTTCAGACAGGGCCTCTGGGGGTGGCTTTGGGGCCTCTAGGAGGCTTGGCAGTTGTTGGCTGGGGTCAGGATCCCCACAGGGGCAGGTCCCAGGCTTGGAATGGCTTCTGTGTACACAAAATATCTCTCTGCAAAAGGCACTGGTGGGGAGATGGGGGTGGGGCAGCAGGGAGACTACCCCATCACAGCAGGATCTACTGTCCTGAATCTGGGTCCCAGTCCCCAAGACTGTCCCATCCTCCTCAGGGGCTGGGTCTCTCTGCAGCCTTGTTCCTTTCCTCTCCCTTCCTTCAGCCCAGTGGTGAGCAGGCAGCTGGTGGAGAGCCAGGTCAGGCCATGGGGTGGACAGCCCCTCCTTGGGGCTAGTGCCTCTGGCCACCTCTAGGCCAAGAGCCCCAGGCGGGTGACTTTGGCCGAGAGGAAAGAGTGGATGATGAAGACCATGGTTTTGGGGCACGAATGCAGGTCCAGCTGCTGCAGGATAAATGGAGAAAAGGGTCAGGAGCTCCATCTAGCCTGGCCTCCAGGAGACCATACTCCCCACCCCCTCCACTCACAATCTCTCCTTCAGCGCCCCCGAAGTCCAGGAATAGGAGACTGGCACCATCATCCGAGGACATCTGCAGCTTCTCAAAGGGCTGTCGGAGCAGCACAGCTTGGGCTGCCCCTGGCTCAGCTGCCCACAGTGTGAAGCCCTTGTCAATGTGCACAGAGAGGCTGCAGGGACGGCCATTCCATGTGCAGGCTGCAGGGAGAGCACATGGGCATGGGGAGGGCACATGGAATGGGCACAGCCGGCCCTCAGAGACCACAAGCCCTACCTCCAACCCCGAATGGCAGCTCCAAAAGTGGGGCTTGAATACCATCACAGATGGGAAGCTCACTGTCTGTCATGCCTTCTGTAGACCCACCCTGCACAGAGTCACCCCCACCCTAAAATAAGAAAGGTGGGCCCACAAAAAATTATACCCCACTTCCAGCAGCACCAAAAGTGGAAAGGGGGGGTTTAAACTCTGCATGGACAGGACCCACTCCCTATACAGGTTATCAGCAGACCCATCAACATGGCCCATGGAAACCTTAGAAACCTGTAGAATTGCCCAGTTAAATGTAAATCTCAGGTGAATAATGGATAATTTGGACATTATTATACTAAAAAAAAAAAATGTGTTGTTTATCTGAAATTCAAATTTAAGTGGATATCCTATATTTTATTCTGGCAACCCTTCCCCAAATGCCATCTGTCAAATTCTCATCAGCAGAATCACAAAGCCAGGGCAAGAAAAAACCCAGAAAAGAGTCTCACTTTCTACCAGAGCCCCTGCATGCCCAAAACAGAGGGCCCTTGGAGACCCCAAACTTTATGTTCTATCCCTCTCCTGAAGCACCCTAAAGAAGGAAGCTTGAGTGTCTCTGGGATAAGAAACTCATTATCAAAGAGGTACTCTCAGACCAACAACCCACCTGTAGACACCTCCTGCACACCCTCAGCGGCCCGGTGACAACCATCCACTAGCTGGCGGGTCCAGGCAGCCAGCTCCTGTGGTGACTCCACGCTGAACAGGTGAGTATCCACACCATGGCGTGTGCCCGTGCGCAGGGCAAAGGACAGCTCTGCATCATAGGGCACTGAGCCCTTGGAAGGGCCCGAGTGCACCAGCCTGGAGCACAGGATGGGGAGGGCAGAGGGCTAAGTGTGAGGCCTCAGGCAGCAGGGAAACAGTAATTGGCGAAGGGGACAGTCCTGGGAAGGGACCCCCTGACTCCTTCACCACCTAACTGGGGCACAGAACTTCCAGACCAGCACTAATTACTTATAGATCATCTCCTGCCACCCTCCCCCTCACTCTGTCATCTCCAGCTGCACTAGTGTCTTCAAATACACCAAGCACACTCCTGCCTCAGCACCTTTATACATGCTGTTCCGTCTGTCAAGTACACTCTTCCCTGATTATCTACATTGCTTGTCCCTCACTTCCTTCAGACCTTTGCTCAAATGTCATCTCCTCTGAGAAGCCCTCCCTGACACCCCCCCACCCCCCACCCCACTCCTTGCCGCATAACACAGTATCCCTGCCACTCATTTGCCTTACTTTTCATCATGGTACCAGAAAGTATACTTCTTATTTGTTTCAGTTAGTTTTTTATTATATTTTTCATTCATCTAGGATACATATTTTTATCTAATTTGTTCACCACTCTAGTCCCAGCAACTAGAACAATGCCTGTCACATAGAAGGTGTTCAACAAACATTTGTGGCCTAAATTAATGAGTCACTTGATTAGGCCAGCAATCCATGACATGCTTATCCCTAGTAGGCAGCAAGCTTCTGATATGTGGGCCACAGCCTAGCCCGGGCAGGGAGACATGAGTGACAAGGGCCCAGACCCTGCTTGACTCCCACTTTCTGTATAATCTTGGGGCACTCACTGCACCTCTCTGGGCAATAGATTTCAGATTTCTGGACCATATCTCTCTTTGCTTCTCACTCTATACCCTCTCCCTCTTGAAATTTGTTTCCCCTTGGAGCTGCTGGTGATACCTACCTAGCCCCCTACCTAGTCCCCCACGTTCCAGCCCTGAGCTATGGACCCACAAGTCTCCAAGCTTCCTATCCGAGCTCCTTACCCATCCTCCACACACTCTGGACTCAACTTAGCTTCTTGCTCCAACCCCCTCCCTTTGTACTCTCACTCCTAGTCCCACTGCCTGCCCAGAGACAAGCTCCAAGCCTCCTGCTTATCCATTCATCTGGACATCTCCCTCACCCTCCCCATCTGGCAAGTACTAAGCCACTAAGCCGGGTTAATTTTACCACCCATGTGTTTTTCAATGCAAATGTGGCCTTTCTTCTCCATCTGCTGCCTCCACCCACCTCCACCATCTCTCCTGCATGACTGTAGCAGCCTCCCAGCTCCCATCCTGCCCCTCAGGTGCATTTTCCACCAGGCAGCCACAGGGATTCTTTTAAAACACAACCCAGGTCACCTCACTCCCAGGCTAAAACTCTTCAACTCTGCCACAACCCTTAAGATAAAGCTAACATTTCTTAACCAGGCAACATAGGCTCTGCAAAATCAGGCCCTGCCAACTCTGTCTCACTTCTCTCCATTTCCTGCATAGGTTCTCCACACTGGTTATATATAGCACACTCATAACTCTGTGAATACACTATAGCCCTAATGCTTCTGTACCTTTGACTGTGTTGTTCTCTCTCTATGAGATGCTCTTCCACCCCTTTCTTCAATAGCAAACTTCTAGTCATCTGTCTAAGTCCAGCTCAAATGTCACCTCCTGCCTGAAGCGTTCCCCCACCAGGCCAGGTAGAATTAAGTGGTTCCTGCAATTCTGCATTGTAAAGGCTGTTCCTAGGTCAGTCTCCCCCAACCAGACATGGGGCTCCCTGAGTGCAGAGAGTATTGGGGTCAGCCTCCTGTCCCCCAAACCATGCAGCAGAAGATTGGGCAGAGTAGGTGTCAATGAGTGCATGGCTAGTGGGATTTCACATCTTTCTGTTTCAAGCCCTCATTTTACAGATGAGGAAACCAAGGCCCAGACAGGGTGGAGACCAGCTTCAGACCACCGGGGGAATAACTCAGGGCAAAATGGGGCTGAAGTCCCCAGCTTCTGAGGCCCATTTAAAGTACCAAGCGCTGGGTGAGACACGCACTCCTGCCTGCCTGTGGGTACCTGGTGGTGATGAGTGGGGCAGTCCGGGCTGGCCGGCTTAGGGCCTCACGGGTGTGGGGAAGACAACTGTAGAGGAGCAGCTCCTTTTCAGTCAGCAGGGCCACGGTGGGTGCTGTGCCCCCATTGGGCAGCTGCAGGGGACAAGGCAAAAGTGAAGAGGGACAGGGAGGAGAGAGATCAGAGAACCAGGATGGGGAGAGAATGGGAATGAGGTCAGCTCCAGGGAAGGGGAAGGGAGGGAAGAATAGGTCCCTGGCCCAGCAGGCACCTGCTCAGTCAGCCAGCCGATCTGCTTGATGTCCTGGCTCCCAGCTGTGTTGGTAGCTGCCAGCAGTGCCTGCAGCTCGTCCTTGACCCAGGGCATTAGAGCATTGATCTGGGCATGGATGGCAACTGCCCACGACCTTGCACTCGCCTCGTCCATGGCCCTCAGGAAGAGGGTGTCTTGACCATCTGCCGAACAGATCTCCAGATACCTGCAGGCACAAATGAGTGGAGGGGAGGGTCTGTCCACTGCTACAGCTGACCAACCCTGAGATCTGGCCCAAGAAACCCCATCTACCACAAAACCCCATCTACCACAAAACCAGAAGAAACCATAGGGGTGTCCATGAGAGAATCAAAGCGACCCTTGCTGCTAGGGATCCAGCCACAGTTGTTGAGGCCTCATGGGGTCTAGGGACAAGAGACCACTAGACACACGCATAAAGACATACAGACACACTCAAACACATGTGATAGGTGCCAAAGTTATCACTGTGTGAGGATTCATTATCTTGCCCTTTTTTCCCTGGTTTCTAAGGAGAAGGACCATCTTGCTGAGCTAAATCCCAGGTTCTCCTTTGTGGTATAGAACCAAAGTAATACACTAATTATGGGGGAACTGAAGAGAACGCTTGATAGGCCAAGTTGAAAGAAACAGAAACTAAAAGAAAAAGCTTGATAGGCCAAGTTGAAAGAGCTAGAATAATGGAGTAGGGAAAGGGGGAAGATGAAAAGCCATGCAGGCAAGTGCTGGGGAATGTTTTCAAGGAGGTACCCAGAGGAACAGTGACAGGGAGAGGATTTTATAATGCTTTGTGGACCCTGGCCAGTCAGTTGGTTGGGCATTGTCCCATGTACCAAGAGGTCGCCATTTTAATTCCCAGTCAGGACACATGCCCAGGTTGCAGGTTTAATCCCTTGCCGGAGGCAGCCTATCAATGTTCCGCTTTCACATCAATATTTTTCTCTCCCTCTCCCTTCCTCTCTCTCTAAAAATCAATAAGATTAAAGAAAAAAATAGCCTTGGCCGGTTTTTCTCAGTTAGAACATCGGCCTGTGGACCAGAGTCCTGGGTTCAATTCTGGTCAAGGGCACATACCTCAGTTGCGGTTCGGTCCCTGGCCCTGGTCAGGGTCATGCGGGAGACAACCAGTCGATGTGTCTCCTTCACATATCTCTCACGCTCCCCTCTCACCCCCTTTCTATCTGAATCAGTGGAAAACGTCCTCAGGTGAGGATTAAAAAAAGAAGAAGAAATGTAAAATAAATAAATAAAATGTTTTGTGGGACATTAAAGATTCACTCCCCTTTGGCCTTTCTGGGACAGATGAGGTGGGGCAGAAACAGGATAATGGTTCACACAACACCCACTCCAACCCCCTTCACCTTTGCCTTCCTCTACTGCAAAGCTAGAAAGAAAAGTACTTTCATTCCCAGACTCCCTCACAGCCAGGACTGGCCATGTGAGCTGGTTCTGACCAATAAGATATAGCTAGATAACACTTTCCTGGTACTTAGTCTCCGAAGATGGCCGCCAACAAATCCATCCCTCCCTGTACACAGGGTCCACTCCTCTCATTAAGAGGTGAAGTTTGGCCCTGGCTGATTTGGCTCAGCGGTTAAAGCCTGAGGTCCAAAGAGACCCGGGTTCGGTTCCCGCTAAGGGTGCGTACCTCGGTTGCAGTTTGTCCCCGGCCCTGGTTGGTCGTGCGGGTGGCAGCCACTCGATGTGTCCCTTTCACGTCGATGTTTCTCTCTCTCTCTCTCCCTCCCACTCTATCTGAACAAAAAATGAAAAAAAAAAAAGAGGTGAAGTTTGCCCTGGCCAATGTAGCTCAGCATTTGAAGCGTTGGCCCTGTGCACCAAAGGGTCACAGGTTCGATCCCAGTCAAGGACACATACCTAGGTTACGGGTTCGATCTCCAGCCCTGGATGGGGCACAAGTGGGCACATGTGGAAGGCAACCAATCGATGTGTCTCTCTCACATTCATTTTTCCATATCTCTCTCTCTCTCTCTCTCTCTCTCTCTCTCCACCCCCTCCCTCCCTTCCACTCTATCTAAAAATAAATGGGGAAAAAATATCCTCGGGTGAAAATTAACAATAATAATAATAATAAATAAAAATTAAAAGCAATGGAAAAAATATCCTCATGTGCCCGGCCAGAGTGGCTCAGTAGTTGAGCATCAACCCGTGCACCCAGAGGTGACTGGTTCGGTTCAGGGCACATGCCCAAGTTGTGGGCTTGATTCCCAGTGGGGGGCATGCAGGAGGTGGCCAATCAATGTTCTCTCTCATCAATGTTTAAATTTCTCTCTCCCTTTCCCTTCCTCTCTCTCTAAAAATCAATAAAGATAAATAAATTTTTAATATATCCTCACATGAGGATTAAAACTAATTTAATTTTTTTTTATCCTCACCCGATTACATCTTTCCATTTTTTTGTTCAGATAGAGGGGGAGGGAGGGAGAGCGAGAGAGAAAGTAACATCGACATGAAAGGGACTTATCGAGTGGCTGCCACCCGCACGACCCAACCAGGGCCAGGGACAAACTGCAACCGAGGTATGTGCCCTTAGCGGGAACTGAACCTGGGTCTCTCGGGATAGCAGGCCGATGTTCTAACCGCTAAGCCAAACAGGCCAGGGCAAATTTAACTTAATTTTTTTTTTTTTTTCATTTTAAAGGTGAAGTTTACTTCTCATGTCCTTGACCTTGTAACTTGGTTTGACAAATAAAATGTGGCAGTAGTGACATTTTGGCATATTCCCAAGTTACCATGAAATCCAACTACTCTGAGAGGGGGAACAAGCTAGCCACCTGGAAAGGCCATACAGAAAGAGGAATGCCCAGCCATGCCCTAGCTGTTCCAACCATCCCAGCTAAGGCAGCAGACATGTGAGTAAAGCAGCCATCTTCACTTTCAGCCCCAGGAGATACCACATAGAGCAGAAGAACTGGCCAGTTGAGCCAGCCAGAGCTGTGAGAAATGATAAACCATTATATTCTAAGACACTAAAATGTAGGGTGGTTGGTTATGCAACAATAGAACAAAATACCAGGAGAAAAATTCCTTTCCCTTTGCGTTCATCCTTTTAGGAATATGGACACGTTTAGAGGTGCAGCCACCATCCTGCCTTGAAAAAAAAAAAAAAAAAACATCCACAATAAAGATGGCAGGAAAAAAAAACTGGAAGCCTGATTCCTTGACAGCATTTTTGAGCAGCAATAGCAGCCTAAATAAACAGCTGACCCCTGGACTCTTTAAACATGTGGGAAGCCCTGGCCGGTTTGGCTCAGCGGTTAGAGCATCGGCCTGCAGTCCGGAGAGACCCGGGTTTGGTTCCCGCTAAGGGCATGTACCTTGGTTGCAGTTTGTCCCCGGCCCTGGTTGGTCATGCGGGTGGCAGCCACTCGATGTGTCCCTTTCACGTCGATGTTTCTCTCTCTCTCTCTCTCCCTCCTACTCTATCTGTGCAAAAAATGGAAAAATGTCCTCGGGTGAGGAAAAAAAATAAAAATAAACATGTGGGAAAATAAACCTCTCATTTATTTAAGCCATTGCTTGTTAGGGTTATGATACTTGCAGCCCAATGTAACCCTAAGTGAAAGTAAAATATTACTAATTATATTTTAGTTAGCAGATTGTGTTCCCTTGACTGGGATATTGCACTGGTATGGAACTCCAGTTATATTCAAGTTATACATGTAGTTACAGATGTATGCACATAGTTAAGCACATGCACATACATACATATACACATATGAATATCAACATAAACACACACAAACACATGCACAAATCTACACCAATACCCTTGCAAATGCTCAAATATACGCAAAAACACTTGCAATTATATGCCATCTATACGTTCACACACATAGAAATACATGTGCACATATGCTGCGGGTGATGTCCAAGATCGGGCTAGGAACCACGATTAACCTAAGTTTCTATGAGTCTCAGGAAGGACTACCACCTAACCTTCACCCAACACACAAGGCCCCTTTGGTGGAACCCCTATAAGTGATCTGTGAATTACCACTTATTGCCTCATGGGGGCAGTGTAGGGCTAGGTCATCAGGGAGAGCCAGGAGATTTGGATGCTGAACATTAATGTTGGGCATTTGACTGACATTGAACCTGGGCTGTAACTAGGACCCATAGCACAGCCTTTTATGCCACCCCAATATATACATCATCTCCAATACTGCATACCCCACTTTAACTGCATTCAACCACCACCATCACTCAGGCACCTATAGCTTCTAAAGCAGAGAGGGCTACCTGGAAAGAGGCAAGTCTCATCCTTTCCTGGTTGGGTGATTAACCTTGGACATGTTACTTCCTCTATCTGTCCTCATCTATACATGGGCTGAAATAATAGGGTCGCTGTGAGAGTTAAATAAAATTGTGTGTGATAAACACAGTAAAGTTGCTTGGTACCAATCTCATCATCAATGAACTGTTAAGGGCTGCTCAGATGTAAAGGATATTAACCTTCCATGGCCCTGACACAAATGTTACCAGACATCTCAGACCCTCAGCAGAGTAGGAAGAGACTTCAGGGGATCACTGAGTCCTACAACTTTATTTCACAATAAGGAATCTAAAGGTCAGCGAGGAAAAGGGACTAGTTCAAGGAGAGCCAGGACTGGAATCCAGGGCTCTCCACACACCAAGATCCTCCTCAGATGTGAACTGCCCAGAGGAAGAAGAGAAAAGCAAAGCACACCCTCATCCCCGTAACTTCACTCTTGCATCCATTCAATAAACATTTCTTAAGCACCTACCATGTTCAGGCATTGTATCTCTCCTTTGGCCCCACCACATAACAACACCAGGGCATGCCTGTCTGAGGTGCCCCCCACTCCAGGCTTACCTGGGCTCTGGGTCACTGGGGGTACACCTTCTTGAGACATATGCCATCTTCAAGGACATGTGTTTGGCACCGTTGAGGTCTCGGGGTGGGGGGCCAGGGGAGGAAGGCTGCCGCTGAAGGGGTGAGGCAGGAGGCGAGTCCCAGCCAACCGAGGTCCCGCTGGCAGAGTTCTTGAAATATGGTGAGACCTCCTTCATGTACTTGACTGGTCAAGGGACAGGTCAGCAGTTACCACTGTGACATGGGCTCCCATGCAGCACACATCACAATTTTCACTGATTCATTAAGAGTTTAATTTATGTCTAATATCACTATCCTCCTCAAAGCTAAAGTCTCTGACTACAGTAGAAAATACTAGATGCATTCCAACATCCATTCTCTCATTTCCCCTCTGGTTTACAGACACAAGGCCACCTGGAAGAAAGGCTACATTTCCCAGCCTCCTTTGCAGTTAGGTGTGACCATGTAACTAAGTTCTAACCAAGTAAGCAGAAGTGTTTGACCTTTGGGATGGCTGCTTAAAGGGAACAGACCACAGCTTCAGCAAGGCAGTAAAACAGCACCAAGAGGAAGTCAGATGTGACTGTTCTGCCATTGTCCCATTATCTGCCTCTATCTCCAGTCTTTTCATCTCCAGAAAAGAGGGGTTGAATGAAACAGTCCTGTGGCAGAGGCTGCTAACTGTCCTCCAATATAGAGATAGCTTCCCAGATTTTCCAGGCTCCCTTGCAGCTATTTAAGTGCTCAAGTCTGGCTAACAGGGTGAGAGCAGAAGGGATGTGTGTAACAATCAAGTTCTGTCTATTAAAGCAAGGGGCATAGCTCTGGCCAGTTTGGCTCAGCAGTTAGAGTGTCGGCCCGCAGACCAAAGGGTCTCAAGTTTGATTCCCAATCAATGGCATGTACCTGGATTGCAGGTTCGATCCCTGGCCCTGGTCAGGGTCGTGCATGGGAGGCAACCAATCAATGTGCCTCTCTCACATCAATGTTTCTCTCTCTCTCTCCCTCCCTTCCACTCTCTCTAAAAATCGATGGAAAACATCCTCGGGTGAGGATTAACCAAAAATAAAATAAAATAAAAAATAAAGAAGAAGGCATATCCTTTCTTTCCTCCTCTTTTTCTGAACAAGGTTGAACTGGCTGGAACAAAGATTTGTGGGTCACCATCTTGACTTTGAGGACATGAGCAACACTCGAAGGAAGGCTGACAACAAAATAGAAATAAATGGATACTGACATTTTAGAGATGCCATGTCAGACTTGGACTGTGACCTAAGGAAGCAAGGAGCTTCTGTTATATTTAAGCCATAGTATATTATGGTTCTCTTGTAGCAGCATAGCTTGTACTCTAATCAATATATATATATATGCCTAGCAGCCCCCTTAGCTGTGATCAATCATCACTAAGTATAGTGGACACCTCAGAGAATAGCATTATCCAACAGAGCTTTCTATGGTTATATAAATGTTCTATATATAAACGGTCCAATAAAGTAGCCACTAGCCACACATGGCTATTGAACATATGAAACATGACTAGTACAAATGAGGCACTGCATTTTTTTTTTTTTTTGTATTAATCTCACCCGAGGATATTTTTTCCATATATTTTTAGAGAGAGTGGAAGGAAGTGAGACACATAGATTGGTTGCCTCCCGCACATGCCCCAACTAGGGCTGGGGATCAAACCTGCAACCCAGGTACGTGCCCTTAACCAAGAATTGAACCCGACACCCTTTGGGTTGTGGGCCAATGCTCTAGCCACTTCGCTAACTGGCCAGGGCAAAAACTGCATTTTTTTTTTTTGTTACAGATGTTTCTCATTTTTTACCCCATTGACACCCTCCTCCCCATCCCCCCAACCCATCCCCAGCTTTGTTGTCAATGTCCATTGATTATGCGTACATGCATATAAGTTCTGTGGTTTATCTCTTCCCTTCCCCCAGCACCCCTTCTTCTGAGGGTTGTCAGTCTGTACCCTACTTACACGTCTCTGGGTCTACCCTATTCCTCAGACTGTTATGAGAAACTGCATTGACTACTTTATGAGTCAGACAAGGTCTCCACCTTCACAGTGCTCCCAGCCTAGTGGAAGACAAAAACCTCCACATAGACACAGGGGAGTGGGCTTTTTATTTCATTTTAATTAATTTAAAATTAAATTCAGCCCTGGTCAGTTTGGCTTAGTGATTAGAGCGTTGGCCCGTGGACCAAAGAGTCGTGGGCATGTACCGGTCAAGGGCATGTACCTCGGTTGCAGTTCGTCCCTGGCCCTGGTCGGGGTCAGGGAGGCAGCCAATCGATGTTTCTCTATATCTATCTATCTATCTATCTATCTATCTATCTATCTATCTCTCCCTCCTACTCTGAAAATAAATGGAAATATATATCCTCGGGTGAAAAAAAGAGAAGAATTATAATTTAAAATTAAATTCAAATAGTCACATGGAGCTAATGGTGACCATATGACCACATCTTCATATGGCTAGAATAGCAGCCTAGTCCTACTTCTCACCCAACTGACCCATAAAGTCATGTTCTGGTACATGATCCTGCTTTCCTGGCTATGCTGGCAGGACCAGGGTAAACACCTGACCCATACGAGGCTACCCAAATTGAGACTGGGAAACATCCTACACTGGTGTCTTACACAAATTTGCTATGGGTGTCAACCACCTTCTGCTATGGGGACAAAGAAGCGTAGAAAGCTGGTTTGTAGAAAGATAAAATGAGTAGAGATGGGTGTCGAGAAACAGAGGGAAAGCCTTGCCAGGCATCTGCTAATGTTCCAATTTCTGATACTCATCCTTTAGAAAGTCAGGCTGCCATGTCAACAGAAGTGATGATATTTGCAAACAAAGGAGTCTTGCCCTGGCTGGTTTGGTTCAGCAGTTAAAGCATCGGCCCGCGGGCCAATGAGTTGCGGGTTGAATTCTGGCCAAGGGCACGTACCTCGGTTGCGATTCGTCCCAGCCCTGGTTGGGGTCGTGCGGGAGGCAGCCACTAGATGTGTCCCTTTCACGTTGATGTTTCTCTCTCTCTATCTCTATCTCTCTCTATCTGAACAAAAAATGGAAAAATGTCCTTGCATGAGGATAAAAAAAAAGTCTTGATCAGGGCCTGAATCCTATGTCTTTCTAGAAAAAGATCCCACTAACACTGGCTGCTACAAGGCAACATGATGACAAGGTTGATCAGAGAAGAGCTCAGTGGGAGTGGAGATTTAGAGACAAGTCAGTTTTCTTGGGCACCTGCTATGTGCCAGGTGTTGAACTGGCCCTAGGTAGGACTGGGATGGCATTTGCACTACCACTTCTTTATCCTTTGCTCATGGAACATACCATGAATCCATCATAGTGTTCTATGGTAGCCATTACCAATCAGTTAAGGCTGATTGGTAATAAAACATTTTGATCATTCTTGCTATATCAATTGTTGAAGTCTGGCTGCAAATAACAGAATATATGATAAAAGTACCTTAAGCAATAAAGATATTTATGATTTCATAGAACAAGAAGTCTAGAGAAAGGCAATTTCAGAATTGGTTCAGTGCCCAATGACATCGGACTCAGGGTAAGCCTCTCTGCCATTCTCTTGGCCCTTGCCTCATGACCACAAAATGCTGCCACAGCTCGGAGCCAATCAACAAAACCCAAAGCAGAAAGGGAGGAGACAGGCAGAAAAGAGGCTGTTTCCTAATACCTCCCTCTTGTTGGCCCAACTGGGCTGCAGGCACACTTCTAGCACAATCATTACCAAGAGGGAATAGTCACGATTTAGACCAATCACAATTCAGCCTCTGGGACTAAGCATATTTCCACCCCAAAAAATCAGGCTTCTGTTAGCAAGGAAGAAAGGGAAATGATTGGTAGGCAAGCAACCAACAGTGTCTGCCACATGTACCTGGCATCTGGACTATTCCCAATTCTCATGAGCAGCAGTCTCCTTATCTCTAAAATGAGCACCTAGAAAGACAGTCTGTATGTCAAGGTGCTTAAAAGACTTACCCAAGCACTAGTCTCTCTTCCCCCGGCCAGGTTGTCCCCTCTATTACCCTACTGAAGGGTGCCTATCCCTGCTATCCCTTGGGCAGCCTTCCTTCCTCTCCCCTCAGCCATCTGGCTCGCTAGCCATCTGTTGTCTGCAGTCAAGGCCCAACCATTATGCTCTTCCTGTGAGTGGACAGGCCAGGATGGGGTGAGGAAGCAGTTCTTGGCCCAGCTCCCTGGAAGAACCAGATAAGAAGCTATTTCTGTCACAAGAGGCTGCCCTTGGAAGCTCAGATAGAATCCAAGGCAAATAGGAGTGAAAGTGAGAGGGAGTTAGAAACCCTATTGGGGTTGAAAGAGACGTTCTGTTGAAAATAAGAATAGGGCCCAGCCATTGTGGCTCGATGGTTGAGCATCAGACCATGCACCGAGAGGTCTCTGGTTCAATTCCCAGTCAGGGCACATGCCCAGGTTGTGGGCCCGATCCCCAGTGGAGGGCATGCAGGATGCGGCCAATCGATGTTCTCTTTCATCAATGTTTCTATCTCTCCCTCTCTCTTCCTCTCTGTCTAAAATCAATAAAGAAAAAAATTTTTAAAGAAAATAAAAATAGGCTTTTGTGAGAGAACTAAGCCTAGGCCCAAAGTTTTGAGGACTAGGACTAAAAATGATTCATCCTCATCAGTACAGCAATGACTTACCCCAGGACTGAATATTAGATTATTTCTCAAGGGATGACGAAGGTAGGACATATCACAGCCTATATGACATTCGAACCATACCCCTGCCCTTTTCTCCTTGCTAGCAGAACCCTGAGCCTCATAGTCTGGGCTTTTCCCAAACGCAAGGGGAGAATCTTGATTGGCCAAAGTCAATCATGATCATTCCATCTCTTTTGCTTGTGACTGGTTTAAAAAGGTGCAGGTGATACAATTCTGACCAATGAGATATGAAGAAAAGTATACTCACTTCCTTCTTCTTCTCTAACCTTTAGAGCAATAATAGTCACTTTTTGACCACAAGGGTTGGGATCCACACTGAGAATGGGGAGTCCTTAAATTAATCACCCTGAAGCCAGGCTAGCTACCTTTAGGTAGTATGGAAGAAAATACATTTTCTTCCATGTTTAAAACCCTTTGAATTGGTTTCCTGTGACTTGCAGACAAAAGTATCCTAATATAGCCCAACCCAGCCCAAGGGTGCACCTGATCTCCCT